GATCTCCTTGGTGGCTGGGTTGTGGTCACCTTCATTGCCCACTGTGGCAACTACCAGTACACCATTGTTGACAGTGTTCTGCATGGTGGCATGCATCAGGTGGTAGGCAATGTGTCCTCCCAGGCTCAGATTGATTATGTGGCAGCCATCCAAGGTGGCCTGGTAGATGGCTTTGGTGATGGACTGGTAAGAACCACCACCAGTGATGTCAAGCACTCAGTAGTCAGCCAATAGGGCATGAGGAGCAACTCCCATGATCTTCCCATTGGCTGCGCTCACACACACACACACACACAAAGGAGTGATCTCCATTTAGTGTCTACGTGAAAAAAAGAAAGGAGGATGGATGTGCCTGCAATGGTGCCAGCCACATGAGTGCTGTGGGGGTTCCATTGGTGCGATTAACAATGTTGTCGCCAATGTAGTCCCTGTGGATGACCACCATCCTTGAGGTTGGGGTGGTCCCCAATTCCAGTGTTGATGACAATCACCTCACACCATTGGCACCAGCTCTTGCTCACAGACGCTGGACATCAAGACAGCCAACGCCCCGCCTATAGATATTCCACGCACACAGAGGAAGAAGGAGAGAGCGAGAGGGCCATTTTGCGGTGGATTGCGGGCGGACGTCGCCTCGATATCGCATTGGTTAGGAGGCTGGGCTGGTACCATGTAGTGAGGCCTTGTTTGGCTCAAACCGCGGCATTGATGCAGGGCGCATCAATCAATCATATCTAAAAAATACGCTCTATGCCAGATGCTTAAGGGAGAAGTATCGGCCCCAAACGATAAAAGTGCACCTGTTTGTTGTTTTGTCTGCATCATCCATTACCCGGCTCACAGACAATGCATCACACCAAGAGGAGGGGCGCCAGCATGTGGGCCACCTGCTCAGCGCTTGGGCGCTGGAGTGCCTCCCCGTGCCAGCAAGCCTGCATCAAATCAGCGTAGCCGGGAGGCAAGTTGGCCGGAATTGAGGGCCTCTTGCCCTCGACGATGTGGAGCGCCACTCGAGCATTCTCATCGCCGGCAAAGGGCAACTCGCGCGTGGCCACCTCCCACATGATGACGCCCAGGGAGAAGACGTCGGCCCGCTCCGTGTGCCTCTCGCGCAGCACAATCTCGGGCGCTGTCCACGCTGGTGTGACGCACCAGGGCATCGTTGTCGCGTTCTCCTGCTTCATTTGCGCCAGTGCAAAGTCTGTTGATGAGAACAAGACATCAGTGTTGGTCATGCGCCACACAACTTAGCAGCGAGAAAGAGAGAAGGCCGCTGACGGCCACTAGATTACCGGCAATCTTGGCATTCCACAAGTCGTCAATGAGCACGTTGGACGAGTTGAGGTCGAGATGCAGGATGGCCGGCGTGAACGAGTGGAGATAGGCCAGCCCGAGGGCCACGCCCCTCGCCAGGGAGAGCCGCAGCGGCCAGTCCAGCTCGTGCGTCTGATCATCGAGCACGTCGCGCAGCGAGCCTCGCGGCATCCACTCGGTCACGATGCACACGTCAGGCGACCTCAGGCACACGCCGATGAACAGAACCACATGCGGGTGGCTGAGGCGGGCCAGCAGGGATGCCTCCTCGCGGAACTGCAGGCGGCTCTCCTCGTCGAACCGCTTGCGGGCCAGCCGCTTGACCGCCACCTCGACGCCGTGCCATCGGCCTCTGTAGACCCAGCCGTAGCCGCCCTCCCCGACGGGCTGGTCGCTGAGTGTGAGATTCTCGCAGTTGACTAAGTACTTGCACGCGTTGCCGCTTCCAATGGCGATCCGCTCGAGCCGTCTTCCCGGCGGGTACCGCTCCACGCTCTCCCTCTCGTGCTCGTATGTCGGGCATTCGGCGTGTGGCCTCATGTCGAACGCTCCGACGGCTTGCACACGGTCGGCTGAGTTGAGCGTATCGTGGGGCTTGACAGGTACGACGCCCACCGTGCGGAACCGCAGCTCGAAATCCGCCTCTGGGTGCTGGGCGACGATGGCGGCTACGACGGAGTCGGACACGAGCACCTGGCCGCCCTCGGCGTGCTGTGCGAGCTCCATGGCCACATCGACAACCGCTCCATCGTACCCCCGACGACCGGACACAGGGTCCCTGTGGCGGGTGGCGCTGCCCTTGTGGACGCCGAACCGCACGCGAGCCGTCGCATGGCCATGTGCCGGCTGGGGCCACACAACGGAGTGCAACTGATCAAGCGCGGCCGCGCACCTGGATTGATCCCACACGCGTGAGCTAGGTCGTAACAAGTGATCATTTTCAAAAGGGCGGATGGGGCGTGCCATTGCAGGGCGTTCGTGGGATCGGCAAAGACCATGCAGAAGTAGCCCTCACCATTGTCCAGACGCTGCTGCTGCATGAACCTGGACTCGTAGCCGTGGTGGGTCGCCAGCAGCTTGCGCAGGAGCTGGTTGTGGTGTTCCATGGCTCCGCGCATGTCCCGCGGATTCGACTCCCAGGGGCCGGCGGCGTCGGCCACATCACTGAACGCTACCGTGACGTCGACGTCGGTGGGCGGCGCTGCGAGGGAGTCGAGGCCCCACGAACGGCTGGAGGACAGCGAGGGTTCGCTGCTGCTGCTGCTGCTGCTGGGTCGCTGCAATGGCACTGCGGCGTCGTCGGTCTTGGGGCTGATGGCCGCGATGCGGGTCATGACCTCGTGGAACGAGGGGCGCATGGCTGGGTCCCGGTCCCAGCACTCAACCATGATGGCCTCCAGCGGCTCGAACCTCTGCGCGGTCGGGCTCTCCTCGAGCGGGGCGGGCCTGAGGTCATCGCGCAGCACCCCGACGGCGATGGCAGCCAGGCTCATCCCACCGTAGGGCGTCTCTCGCGTGAGAAGCTCCCACAGGACCACCCCAAACGCGTACACCTGCAGCGATGAGCGGTTGGTGTACCCGACGACGGAAGAGGAGTCAGAGCGTTGTGTGTGAGTCAGCTGACATGTCAGGGAGGGGGTACGTCGGCCAGGCTGTAGTCTATGTTCGGTGACTCCTTCACGACCTCGGGCGCGGCCCAGTGGATGGTGCCTTGCGAAAACACCGACGAGCAGGGTCATTGTTGTGCACAACACAGAGCAGCGGTATGGCCAATGAGGAGGGCGAGGCGCTACCGTGGGCCTTGAAGCCGGCGGCCAACTTCAGGTCGGTGCATAACCGGGTCAATCCAAAGTCGCTGACCTGCGCCCCCCCCCCGCCGGATAGTGAGCCACGGGTTGGATTTTTTGTTTTTGTTTTTGTTTTTGTTTTTGTTACCTTGAGGTTCCACTTGGAGTCGAGCAGCAGGTTGAGCGACTTGAGATCGCGATGCACGATGCCGGACGAGTGCAGGAAGTGCATGCCCCGCGCAGCGTGAAAGGCTGCCTTGAGACAGAAATGCAGCGGAATAGCTGGTACCAGCTCGTTGTGAAGCAGCTGGGTATGTCCATTGGGTCCACACCCAGGTGTCAGTTACTTCAGAGAGCAAAAAACAAAAGACACGGGCCGAGCGAAGGTGGAGACCCTACGTACGTCGTAGAGCGAGCCGAGCTCCATGAGCTCCATGACGATGCACAGCCTCGGGGGCTTGGTGCACGCCGCCATGAACAGCACCACGTTGGGATGTCTGAGCTCCCGCATCACCCGCACCTCGTGCTTGAAGGTCTGGCACACGGCCTTGGCCTGCTGCTGGCCCTCGCCCACCGGCACGACCTTGACCGCGACGTCTGTGCCCTTCCACACGGCCTGGTAGACCTGGCCGAAGCCGCCGGCGCCCAGCTGCGGGCCCATGTCCAGCTCCGACGTGTCGATCTCCCAACAACTGTCGCTCTCCCGCTTCTTGGCCCGCACGAGCAGGGCGCACACCACGGCAGCCACCAGCACGACGACGACGAACAACAGCGGCAGCGCGGCGCCCAGAGCGATGGCGATGGCCTGGTCTGCCGAGGAACTGGCCTGGGCTGGGCTTATCGTACACAGCCGACCCGATGCTCCGCCGACTGTGCAATGACACACGCCCGTGTGGCAGTACCCGTTGCCGCTGCAGATCGAGCCGTGGGCTGTGAGGCAGGTGCGGCGCGACGCCGCGGTGGTCGTGGTGATGCGCCCGGTCTGCAGGCCGGTCACGTTGCGGGAGAGCGCCTGGAAGAGCATCGCGTTCACGTTGCCGCCCGTGGAGTAGCGTTCGGTGCTGTACTCCGGGATCATCGTGAAGCCGTCCCCGCCATCGGCCAGCCACCGGTCAATGGCCAGCGTATAGCTCTCGTTGGGCAGGAGCAACTGCCACACGCCCTGCCGCGCCTCGACGTAGGCGTCGACCACCCGCAGGCCCGGTGCCTCAGTCGGATTCCACGAGAAGCGGAGACCCGAGGGGAACAGGAAGCGCCCGGCGCCGCTCATGAGCTCGGTGGTGGCGTCGGTGGCCAGCGAGAGGCCGTTCTCGAGCGCGTCGAGCACGTAGAGGCCAAGGATGCGGATGACGAATACCTCATTCGAGCCGAACGGGATGGTCTGGTGCAGCTGGCCCAGAGTCACGGGTCCGGCCTTAATACCGCCCCGCACGGCGCCCCCGTTGGCCAGGCCGAGCTGCACGCGAAAACCCAGGGAGCCGCTGGCGAAGTCGCGATAGGAGTCGCTCAGCCAGTCACCGATGCCGCACTCGCCGTGGATGCACTGATTGTCGAAAGACAAGTTGACGGCAGTCCACCCGACCACTTGCTGGAACCTGGCCTGGACAGACTGGTCCAACGCGAGCAGCTCAGCGTGCAGGGCAGGGTCGGCCGGCACCGAGTCGTCCATGAGCACGGAGTCGCCCATCCACGCCGTGATGACCCCATGGTCGTCGAACTCGACGTTGAGCACGCCCACGAGGCGCCCGAACGTGCCCGAGGACACGACGAGGACGGGCTGCCCCCAGTCCGTGTCGTAGACCATCGGGTAGGGCCCGACTCGGCTGGCCAGGAACCCGGAGCCGTTGGTGTTGGATTGGAGCTGACCGGGCACGATGAGGATGTCGATGCCCGGCACGGAGGTGAGCACCAGCTCAGCTGTGGCGTTGCTGCTGACAGTGGCCACGACCTTGTCGACCCCCTTGTTGACCAGCGCGGCCAGGCCTTCGCGCAGCGCCTGGGCCTCGTCGGTGGCGCTGACGTTGGGCGCGCGGATCATCGAGGCGAGGTTGGCGGCGAGCGTCGAGATGTAGCCCACCTTGTGGCCGGTGTTGGCGAAGGTCTTGATGGCATAGCGAGAGAGGGCGGTCCCCGCAGGCGCGTCGAAGCCTTGGATGTTGCTGCAGACGAACTGCATGGACGAGTTGTTGTCGCGGGCCCGCAGCATGAATGCTCCCGGGTCAAGCCGACTTTGCAGGTCAGCCACCTGCCAGGCGACCGCATCGTAGCCGAGGAGGCCAAAGTAGTCGGCGATGAGCGGCGAGCCGTAGAGGTAGAAGGGGAGCGAGAATGCCAGGCTGGCCCCGGAGTCGACAAGGAAGACATGGTCGTATCGCGCACCCTCGCGCTCTATCAGGGTGCGCATGCGAGCGGCGCCGCCATAGCAGTTCGCGCCGCAGAAGCTCGCATATGAGAAGGTGGAGTCGTTGACGGGCTGGCAGGCATTCCCGTACTCATCCGCCGCGGTGACAGTTGACAAGGTGTCAGCTGTGTGAAGGAGGGTAAGGTTGAATGCGCCTGGTGTACCTGGCACAGCAGCAGGCACAAAACACCCCCCCCCAGACCAAGGTCAGTTTTGAGCAAGCTCAGTACCACAACATGAGAAAGGAGGACGAGCACACAACTCTTGGTACCTCGTGAGGTGGTCACCAAGCAGAACAGAATGATCACGGTCAGCGCGTGTTGATTCGCCTTCATGAGAAGGAGCGGGTGCTTATGCTTGGCTTGGTGCTGCAGGAAATATGTTGTCTCCACGCAGCGACACTTGACTCCAAGAGTTGACCATGCTGAGACCAGTTATTCCTGCTTTGTTCCCCAGAACAATCAGGCCGTCGTTCAACATGTCCACACACTGGAACGTGCGCCCGGAACCAGTATATAAACTGGATCTCTGGTTCCTTAGTCTTGAGAGCGAACGTGCGCCGATCTCGGCGGCGATGCTGGGTGCCGTCCGATTCTTGCTCGCTGGCGTCGGAGCTGAAGCAGAGGCCGTAGTCGGTGGTGGCCCTCACCCTCCTTGTGGGCGCCCACAAGGAGGGTGAGGGCCTTCATGATGCGCTTGTGGGAGCGCGCCGCGTATCTGACGGTGCCCATGGTTGTCCGCTCCACGAGAGGATGGTTCATCTGCTTCCCTCGATGTCTGACTTGTGTCGGGGAATTATTACCGCTGGTCTCTCTTCTTCTTCTTCTGCATGAGGTCCTGTCATCTGTCAATAGCATTATAATGTGAGGTGTCTTCCGCGTGGGAGGTGCAGAAAAGGAAACAGAACGCGGCTGTGGTCTCTCCTCGAGTGATGTGTGAGTCTCTCCTGTATTCTTAAGGGGTGCCATCAACAGCGCCGCTATTTCCTAGTCCTCCAGGACGCTGTCTTCGTCATCCTCACTGCTGCTGGGGACGAGCTCCTCCTCCATGAACAGGTCGGTATAGCCCTTGGCAGCAGCCCCATCCTGCACTCCCACCGTGTACAGAGAAAGAAGGGACGACGCGGCTGAG